CACCACAGATGCCAGTTATGTTTATTTTGTTTTGAGACAGGGTCTCTCTACGTAGCCCAGGCTGTCTTGGAACTTAGTATGTAGATGAGGCTGGCCTCAAACCCTCAGAGAGCTGCCTCTGCCTTCCATGTGCTGAGATTAAAAGTGTCTGCTGCCATGCTGGGCACTCTAGTCCAGGCTGGCCTTAAGTCTGCCAGGCCCTGAGATTGCAGGTGTGCACCACCACAGCACTTGACTCTCTGAATGTGGCACAATCTCTCATTTTCATTTACATAAACTCACTCTTAGTTATTACTAGCAACATTACCTGACTCATTCTTTTCCCCCTCCTCTTCCTACTCCTCCCATTTTTGAGAAAAGGCTGGCTTCAAAAGAGTTGCAGCAGTTTTTACTCAAGCCTTCCAAGTGCTGGGGTTACCTGTGTGATACACTCAGCACTCACTTTTTCCTTGGAAACAATACAAAAATGTGTGAGATATCTCAGATTATGAAAGTGCTAAAATATCAGTCATCTGTTTTTGGCTCCCTGTTCTCCCCAGAAGTAACTTCTTTTCAAAGACAACCTGACCTCCAGGGCATACTTGTCCCTCCTTTTATGCCAGTGCCTCCCAGTTCATTGTTCTGTCCAGAGGCCAGTTCCTCCCTTAACAATTCAAGGTAAAAGGGATTTCATGGGAAAGCAGCTTGAGCCCCTGAATTCTAGCCCCAGTACTAAAAAAGGGAAAAGGGATGTTATTTTTATTCCTTTTCTTTTTTTCCTGGCTCTGCAGTTTGCACCTGGAGCCTTTGTGCCAGGCAAGTGCTCCACCACTGAGAAGCATTTCCAGCCAGCTGCTTCATTTCAGCACGTTGATGCATTTAGATGCTTCATAATTGACACATGTTGAGGTTAAAGAGGAAAAGGTACTCTGTTGAATGAAGTATTTTTGTGCTTCATTGTGTGTGAATATATCGACTTGTGGGATAGAATCAGGAGGCAAAGGGAATTTCTTTTTTTTTTTTTTTTTTTTTTGAGACAGGTTTCTTATTCCTGGTTGTCCTGGAACTCACTCTAGACCAGGCTGGCCTCAAACTCACAGAGATCTGCCTGCCTCTGCTTCTCAAAGGCACGTACCACCATTGCCTGGTAGGGAATTTTTTATTTTGCCATATTGCTACGTGTGGTGGCACATTTCTTCGAAGGTGGATCTCTGTGTTTGAGGACGGCCTGGTCTACAGAGTGAGTTTTAGGACAGCCAAGGCTACCTGTATTGGAAAAAAAAATTTTTTTTTTTAAAACCCAAGTCAGAAGTGGTGGCCCACTTGGACGGTAGAAGCAGGCAGATCTCTGTGAGTTCAAAGACAGCCTGGTCTATATAGTACAGTCAGGACAACCTGAGCTACATCAAGGGAGCCTCTGTTTAGAACCGAGTGAGCTCCACAGTTGGGAGGCCAGTTGTGTGTGTCTAAGCATAGTCGGTGCTGCCAGCTGTACACCACATGGAGTCTGGAGGCCCCCTTGCTTTACCTCTAAAATCAACAGGGTATTCATTCCGTCCCTAAGTACAGTCCGGCTGCCTCCGCGCCCCTGTGTTCCAAAGCTGAGGGCCATAGTGAGGGGATTTACAGTTGTGACCAAATGGAGGAGGGGAGAGAAATCTAACACCTTCCCAGAGCCAGCGGCCTCTCAGAATTCACAGAAAGCCGGGAAACAAAGGCAGGGCATATGTAAATGTAACTGTAGGTTAGCTTGAGCTGTTTTTTCCTGGGTCCCACACGATCTCTGAAGGATTTATTTAAATCTCTTCTGAGTAAAATAGGATCTTAAAAAGCCCCGTTTTAAAAGAGAAAAGAAACCATTTTGTAGGGTGGGCAATCCTACCCATTCCCTCTCTGGCAGAGTTCTTTGTTCCTAGGTGTTTTGATAGGTGGGAAGCTGAGGCTTTCATTTTTTTTCTTTGGAATAGTACTTTAGGTGTCAGGTTCCTGCATTCATATAATTTTGCTAGTGGAAACAGTCAATTGTCTTAGTGAGGGTCAAGGGTCAGTATTTTTTTAAGAGTATCTTCTCTGGCCCTGCCCTGCTGTTCACCACCAGAAACATCTTTAATTGCCGTCTATGCACCATACAGAAGACCAGAGGACATAGGAAACTCAGAGGAAACGGTGGAAGAGCCCCAGCACGTGGGTCCTGGGTGTTAAAGTCCTACCTGCTGCAGGGCGTGGCTGCTATGCCCTGCCCTCTACCAAGGAGTGGGGCTTCTCCCCCAGAGGCCCTTCACTGTAGAACCAGACTCCTTGGGTCTACCACCCCTTTTTGCCCTATCTCCCCCCTTTCCCCTTCCTGTCTGGTCTCCCCCCCCCCCAATCCCCCAGCGCACAGGCTCCTTTTCTCCCTCCCCCTTCCTCGATGCTCCCGGTAAATGTGCATTTATACAATATAGCTTCGTCTGGCAATTAGCTCATACCATTTTATTTGATCAATCATCCAGGATTGAACTCATGTTATCAGACTTGGCAGCAAACACCTTCTCAACAGCCCCAGTTTCAGGGACTTTCTTTCATTTCTTTTTTGTTTTTATTTTTTGATATGTGTTTATTTTTGTTTTTATGTGTATTGAGTGTTTGCATGTATGTCTGTGTACTATGTGCATGCCTGCAGGCATGCCTGGTGCATGCCTGGTGCCCATAGACTCTAGAAAGGGTGTCAAGTCCTCTGGAACTGGAGTTACAGATGGTTGTGTGGGTACTAGGAATTGAACCTAGGTCCTCTGGAAGAGCAGCCAGTGTTCTTAACCTCTGAGCCGTCTCTCCAGTCCCCTCCAGGGACTTTGTAACAGCCATGTTCAATAAGCAGCTGAAGAACATAGGAACTTGCTCCATAAACCATTCCTTTGCTGTGCTAAGTTATATTGAAGCAGATGAGTCGCAAGTCATGTTGAAGACATGAGACAGACTGCCTGTAATGTGGCATCAGCGCCACTTGGGTTTCTGTCCCTGCTAGGTGTGCAGGGGTGGAAAAATGCAGCTGCACTTCTCACTGTGTGCATTCCACATTCCTGTCTGGCCAACGGTGACCACATTTTCTTTCACAGCAAGTGTGGCTATGTTCTAATCTGAAAAATGTGTTCTCCGGAGGCTTGTGTGTTAGGCTACATTGTGTCCATCAAGGGTCTGTCTGTTTGTATTCTTTGGTGCTACTTTTTCTCTAGTTCCATGTACCACTTGGGTACTAGAGAAATTGAAGGTAGAAACCCAGAGAAGGAACTGAAGAGCAAATCAGTGTCTTGGTTATTAATAAAACTTAGCTATACAAGAATGAATTTAGATAGCCCAGTGGGATGTTGCAAGCCTGTAATCCCAGCACTTGGGGAAGCAGAAGCAGGCAGATCTCTGAGAGGCCAGCCTGGTCTACAAAGGAAGTCCAGGACAGCTAAGGCTATACAGAGAAACCCTGTCTTGAAAAACCAAACAAAGAATTTAGTTGATCTTATTAAAATTACTTTTGAAAATTAGAAAGTGGATACCAGCAATTAAGTGTAAAAGAAACATTTAAGAAGTAACTTGTTCCTTTCAACAAGACTTTCTTTTTAAGCTTCGGTTTAATTTATTATTGTGTGTATGTGTATATGATTGGGGTAGGGGCATGCTGCAGTGTGCACTTTGAGGTCAGAGGACAACTTTGAGGTTTTCATCAAGTGTCTTTACCCATTGAGCCCTCTGTCACTTGTAAGGCTTAATTACAAAACAGGGCTGGCTGTCATACCTCAGGCTTGTTTAAAGGGTTAAATGCTATCTATATGTGAACATGTACAGTGCATGTGTGCGTGTGTGTGTTTGTGTATGTGCGTACATAAATACACAGAATGTGTGTTTGTACATACATAGACAAACAAGACACCTAGATGTAGTGTCTGGTTTGTGTATGTGTGTGGAGACATAGTGTAGATGGATGGGTGGGTGGATGGATGGATAGATGATGGATGGATGGGTGGGTGGATGGGTGGATGGATGATGGATGGATGCCTGTGTGCACCTAATTGGTTGGTTTCTCAGGCAAGACATCGCTGTCCTCTTCAATGCTGGGACTTGTCTGCTCTCTTGCCTTCTTTTCCAGTCCTGAGCCTGCATTTGGCGGGCTCTGTGTACCAGCACTTCTGGTGAAAGTGGGGCACTGGGAACTTCTGTTGTGGGAGGAGCCTGGCCGATTGAGTAGGAGGTGTGCTGCCCCACCCCAATGCTGGTCACCTTATATAGAGTTAATTTTTTTACAGTTATATTTTGTCAAATTCTTACCAACACATTGAAAAAGACCAGTTACTTACAGTTAATTCTTAGGTAAATAAAAGGTAATTGATTACACTTTATTTTATTTTTTTTAACTTCTGGTTTAGAATTGAATGGGAAGCCAGGGGTAGTGGCACACACCTTTAATTCCAATTCCAGGACAGGCAGAGCTACACAGAGAAACCCCATCTTTGAAAAACCAAAAATAAGCAAACAAAGGAATCAAATGAGAAATTCTGAATTTAGATTTTTTTTTTTTTTTTTTTTTTGTAGTCTTAACAATCAGGGTTAAATGATTGTGTTGGTATGGTGACTTAGCTTGTAATTTCAGCTACAACTGGGCTATATAGCTCAAAGCTAGCCAGGCCTGCAGTGTGGGGTTGTGTCAGAAATGAATGAACTAAGTCATCGGCTCTTGTTGTTTTTGAAGCAGTATCTTACTGTTTAGGCCAGGCTGGTCTGAAACTTCTATTCACCTGTCTCTGTGTCCTGACTCTTGGGATACAGGCAGCATGTGCCCTCACACCCAGCTGCTGTTATTTTTGCTATTGTGTAATTCTGGGGCTGAGCCCAAGGCCTGGGCGTGCTAGGAAGTGCTCTACCACTGAGCTCTGTATACCCTTTTGCCCCTGATCTTGCTGTTTTCCAACTTGAGTGTTGTATAAAAGCTGATGGTATGTTTGTAGGAGCAAGGTGCTATTTGACCTGTGATGACACCATGTCCTTGTTTACAGGTAGGCGAAAACCAAGAGTGCATCGGCCTCGTTCTCCAATATTAGAAGAAAAAGACATCCCGCCCCTTGAATTCCCCAAGTCCTCTGAGGATTTAATGGTGCCCAACGAGCATATAATGAGTGTCACTGCCATTTATGAGGTGGTGCGGAACTTTGGCAGCGTGTTAAGGTTGTCCCCCTTTTGCTTTGAGGACTTCTGTGCGGCTCTTGTGAGCCAAGAGCAGTGCACACTCATGGCGGAGATGCACGTGGCGCTTCTGAAAGCGGTTCTGCGAGAAGAGGACACGTCCAACACCACCTTTGGCCCTGCGGACCTGAAGGACAGTGTGAATTCCACCCTGTATTTCATCGACGGGATGACATGGCCCGAGGTCCTGCGGGTGTACTGTGAGAGTGATAAGGAGTACCACCACGTCCTCCCTTACCAGGAGGCAGAGGACTATCCATACGGGCCGGTGGAGAACAAAGTCAAAGTCCTGCAGTTTCTAGTCGACCAGTTCCTTACCACCAACATCGCCCGGGAGGAGCTGATGTCTGAAGGAGTCATCCAGTACGACGACCATTGTAGGGTCTGTCACAAACTGGGAGATTTGCTGTGCTGTGAGACATGCTCAGCTGTATACCATTTGGAATGTGTGAAGCCGCCTCTTGAAGAGGTACCAGAGGACGAGTGGCAGTGTGAAGTCTGTGTAGCACACAAGGTGCCTGGGGTGACTGACTGTGTTGCTGAAGTCCAAAAGAATAAACCATACGTTCGACACGAACCTATTGGCTATGACAGATGCCGGAGGAAATACTGGTTTTTAAACCGAAGACTCATAATGTAAGTAAATCTGGCCATCATTGGTGTACATGCTTAGAGGGAAACCCTTTTCCTTCATGGCCGATATGACAGAGCTGTGCCATGTTGATGCAGAAGGCTGGGATTTATTAATGAATTGTAGGGAAAGGCTTGTGATGGAAGAAGTATGGTATTTCAGAAACTGAAGCGATTGGGTTCAGGTGCGGAATGCGTGCCATTCACTCCAGTACCCAGTGTCCTGGTGGGTTCTGGAAGCCCTCCTGCAGCCCGCTGAGAGCTTTGCACCTGACTTGGTGTTAGGGCTTGAGCCTCCTCTTTAGTTTTAGCACAAGGCAGTAGGAGCAGCAGGAGCCAGCCTGCCTGAGACTGGGCGTTCTATATTGGCTGCAGTCCCAAGGAGATTCTGACACATGGGATTATAGTCTGAGTCATGGGGTTTCAGGCCTGTGGGGTAGGAGGATCCCAAGTTCAAGGCCTGCTCTGTTCTACAGAGCAGGCTACCTTGGGGAGTTTAGTGTGACCCTGTCTCAAAATAAAATGAGAGGCTGGGGAGCTGGCTTACTCATGTCGGCGTGTGTGAGGCCCTATGTTCAGTTCCAGCACCACAGAAGTGAACAGATGTGCAAAAGAAGCCCAAAATCAGGGGCAAGTGGGGTCAGGGGTTGCTGTGCTTAGCCTCTTGGGGGCGCCAGGCAGTGTTGAAGTCTGGGCTGAGGACTGAGTGTCCTTAGAACCCTGGTAGAAGATACCGACCACTTGGTATTTTGAGCTTCTATAGTTTTGAGACTTCCTTCCAGCTCTTAGACTTTGGTGGAGAGAAAACGCAGATGGACTTGAGGGTGAGGTGCGGAGGGAGAGCAGTGGGAGCTGACACTTGGTCTGTTGTCTGATTTCCTGACTCACTTTGCTGGAAGCCTGTGGAATTTTCCCTGTCTCCGGGGGCAGACTACACGCTAGCGCCGCGGAGGTGCGCGGTGGCAGGCCTGTGTGCAGCTGCGGTCACCAGTGGAGCGCTTGTTTGGCCTTCATCCAGTTGGGCCCCCTGAGCTCTGCTCTTACTTGTCTTGTGCTGTCACTTTACTGAGTGCTGGACTGTTTTTGCCTTCCCTCTCCAGTTTTCCTCTTTCAGGCGAGCACACGGGTGTGTGTGTGTGTGTGTGTGTGTGTGTGTGTGTGTGTGTGTGTGTATGCATGTGTGTGTATGTGTGTGTGTATATGTATGTTTTATTTGGACAGAGTCTCATTCTGCAGTTAGTTCTGGCTGGCCTAGAATTTACTGTGTAGAATAGACCTTAGACTCAGAGATTTGATTGAGATTTTTTTTATTATTTTAAATATTGATTTTTTTTTTTAATTGTTGTTGTTTTTAATTTCCAAGACAGGGTTTCTCTGTATAACCTTGGCTGTTTCTCTTTATAACCTTGGCTGTTTCTCTGTGTAACCTTTGCTGTTCTGGACTCACTTTGTAGACCAGGCTGGCCTCAAACTCATAGAGATCCTCCTGCCTCTGCCTCCAAGTGCTGGTATTAAAGGCATGTGACATCGTGCCCAGTTTAAATATAGTTCTCTAAGCCCTACTGTTAACTTTTTCTTAGCTGCTACCATGTATTTAATTTTCTTAAAAAAGAAAAAAATATGCGTAAGAGTGTTTTGCGTGCACCTGTCTGTGCACCATGTTTGCAGTACTTCCAGAGGCCAGAAGAGGGCGCTCCTGTAACTGGAGTTATAGGGTGAGTCACCTTATGGGTGTTAGGAACCAGTCCTGGGTCCTCTTGAGAGCAGCCAATGACTTAATCTGTAATCTTGCTCCCCTCACCCCCGTACTTTCACATTTATGTAATCTGTCTGTCAGTCCGTCCGTCCATGTTTTTAAAGTATTTGTCTGCACTGTGTGCGCCCGATACCCACAGAGGCCAGAAGTGACTACTCGATCCCCTGTGTGGGTGGCGGGAATTGAACCCAGGATCTTTGCAAGAAGAGTATACCACTCCCCACATCCCAAGAAAAAAGGCCCGCTGTGGTGGTGCACCCCGTTAATCTCAGCACTGGGGAGGCAGTGGTAGGCAGATCTCTGTGAGTTAAAGGTCAGTCACAGCTCCGTAGAGAGTCCATGTCAAAAACACAAAACCAAACCACAGAAACCAGTTAATGCTCTGAACTGCTGCGCTGTCTCTCCAGCCTCATATATATATATATATATATATATATATATATATATATATGTTTTTAAGAGTTCTTTTGTCCTATTATTCTATTATTATTTGTGAAAATAACAACATGAGTCTTTATTTTTAAGGAATATAACAGAATCCTGATTTTATTTTATGGATGTAGTGTTTTAACTTCCTGAGTGAATTATCGTAATATTTTGTTTTGTTTTCTTAAAACGGGCTCTCCGTAGCACAGACTGTCTTTCAGCTCCCAGCAGTCTTCCTTCCTCAGTCTTTGAAGTGCTGGGACATAGGATGAGTCACCGCACCAGGAGTCTAGCTGGCTCTTGAGTGCTGGGTACAGGTGTGTTTCTTTACCCCACTGCTGCATGGTTTAGTTTTTTCTATGCTGCCTCTGCCGTTACTTGTTTTGGTCTTTAGCCCCAGATGTCTGTTCTTAGTTTTAAGCTGCTGGTCAATACTGTGGAACTACCGGCTTATTGGAAGCATTAAGCGAGTGGGTGAGCCATACCAATTTCAGGCCGAACGATGGGGTGACAGGCACAGTGTGTGTTAGAGGTCCCGCTGTCCGGATCCTTCCTTAGCTCCATCGACTGCAGTTGGGTAGTAGTCCTGAACAGGCCTTTTCTGGCGAGCTGCTCCGAGCACAGCAGCCTTGTTGGCGGTCTGCACCTGGAAGGAGCCTGCATGTACTGTGCGTGCAGCATTGCTGTGTTCCCGAAGGCCTCAGTTCTGAATTTGTTCACACCAGGCCTGGAGGCTTTTGAGCCAGAGAATTTCAGCTCTACTGTATTCCCTAGAGGCCAGACCTTTGGCTTGGAGAGGTGGTCTCAGAGGTCTGCTTAAGCAGCCTGCAGCCAGTTCTGTTTCAGAGCTGCAACCCCCCACCCCAAAAAGCCTGCCAAGAGTGGAGTGGGATTCTCAGCTGCCTTGGGGTTAGGTTTTTTTGGCGTTTCACTTTGATCATGTGACCACCTGCTTTCAGCTTTTTCAATTGTCTTTCCTCTATTCTGAATTTATGTCTTTAAAAAAATTCTTTTTAAAAAGTCATTTCGTTATGTTTTTAAACAAGCTATTGCTGTAAGGTCTTTTTTTGTTTTGTAGACAGGGTTTCTCTTTGTAGCTTTGGCTGTTCTGGAGCTCTCTCTGTGGCTGAGGCTGGCCTTAAACTCACAGAGATCCACCCTCCTCTGCCTCCCTGAGTGATGGGTTATAGGCGTGGGCTGTTACTTATTTGGGTGGAGGGTAGGGAGCTTGTACTGCACAGTCAGTGCCTGTGTGAAACACCTTTTGGGAGTTGGCTCTTTGCCCCTATCACTTGAGTCGCAGTTGGTGACAACACGAGCCTCTTTCTCACTGGCCCCTTCCTTGGCCTTTTAGATGTTGCTTTCCGTAGACTGTTTTTTGCTTAGATAAAAAGTAAATAGTCCAAAGCAATGTTTATTGAGCACCTAATATGCACCTCACTTTGGGTGTCCTGAGCATTTTATATCCAGTTCCTTACGACAGCGCTGTAATATAGGTTCTATACCTGCCTGTGATTTATAGATGGTGAGACTAAAGCTGTGGGAGAGTAAATAACTTAGTCCCAACGCTGTGTATCTGTTTGCAGATGAGACCTCAAGTCGTCTGTAAGAATGTTTCTAATAGTGTCAGAGTGCACCCATGCTGGCTGGCAGCCCCGCAGCTATCTGTAACTGCAGTTCCAGGGAGCCATAGGCACAGAAAACACAAAACACACACACACACACACACACACACACACACACACACACACACACA